CCCTCGCCTTTGCCACGCTCTCGTCAAAGGCCTTTGATCAGGGCTCTTTGACATGCAGCGCACAAGCCCCCCCCGCGCCACCTCCCTGGAAGCGCCGCACGCCCCGGGAGCCTGGCTGAAAATTGAAGCCGGGAGCTGCCAGCCCGGCTCTCCCGGGGCCCGGCCTGTAATGATCACATCAGCGTTGGAAGAGGATAAATGGGCTCTCCCCGCAGAGCCCCGCTCTCCTCCGGCACGAGGACAGATGCGCGGGCAGGAAGCGGGGAGCCGAGGGATTCGTAATGTGTTCGGCGGCTCGGGGTCTCGCTGGGCAGCACAAAGGGCCAGGAGAGGGCGGGGGGGCGGATTATAATCTCCCAGCGCAGGCTGGTTTTAATCCGCGCCTGCTCTGGGATAATTCGCCCGTGGGAGATTAACCCCTATTATATGCAGCCAGTGGCAGAGTCTTAGGCAGGAAAGGAGGCGTGAGCAGGCTGACCTCCGGCAGCGCCAGCCCGGAGATCCGGCACCCCCAGGGTTAAGCAAGGGAGAAGAAAGCCTGTTTTTCTCCTCTTTGTGGGGCTGTTTTCCTTTCAGGGGCGGGAAGTGGGGAATCTTTCCAAAGACACCGTTGAAATGACAACAGCTAGGCCTGTGCGTGTGCGTGTGCATCCTGGACATACGTGCGCACGCACCGCACAGGCACAAGCGCGGGTGCCAGCCGTGCCGTCTGAAACGGTTACAAGCAAAACCAGACCATTTGGAAACCCCCTCCTTTCCCCGGTTCACAACCACTGGTGCCAGCCTCACCTAGACAGCCCCAAAGCCGGGTCCTAAGCCCGGCGATGCTCCGGAAAGAGACCGGCTGAGATCTGGCTCCCGGCTGTGCCGCTGAGCTCGGCCAAGTCATTTCTCTGCCTCAGTTTCCCCAGCTTATAACACTACCCAGCTCTGTGCTTTGAGCTCAACTGATGAACGCGGCGATATGAGATGCTGGTACTCGGACCCCACCTCTCCCCCTGGCCCAGCTGACAGCAGCCTTTTGGCTCAGGTTAACGATGATCAGGGATCCTGGTTTTCTCTGATTTAAAAACATCCCCAATTTGGGGTTAAAAAATCCAACAACCCCAAATCCACATTTTTCCATGATTAAAATGAAACACCACTATATATATATCTCTATAGCTATATATTGTGTTGCATTCAAATCATGGAAAAATGTGGATTCGGGGTTCCTTTTTTATCTATAAGCTAGCGGTGTATATTTTTTATCTATATATTAGTTGCGTTTCATTCAAATCATGGCCAGTTGTGGATTTGGGGTAACTTTTTTTTTTTAAACCAAAAATTGGGTTTGTTTGTGTTTGTTTTAAATCAGAGAAAACCAGGATCCCTGATGATTATTAAAAGTCAATTAAAGCACCCCATGATCCAGGTCAAAGGAGGTACTGGAGAAGGGCAAAACCCTCATTAATTATCCCCGTGTCCTTTGGAAAACAGCCCTGCATCGTGCACGCGGGAGCAAACCCCTCTGCCCAAATTTGCTGAGAGAGTCTCGAGCATGAGCGAGGTTCAGGCCAGGCCGGCGCTGCGCGGGGAAGGCTACTAAAATCACTGCAGCCACCGATAAGCAGAGCAGCTGACCCAAAGACTCGCCCACCAGCAGGGGAAGCACCCCAGAGGCACTGCCCTGGAGCGTGCTGGCATGGGTCCCTCCCCATGCAACCCCACGGCCAGGCCCCCACCTGCCTCCACTAGGATGCCGCCTTTCTTCCTGGCCCGAGCACTGCTGGGAGCAGCTGGCATGGGCTCCTCAGCTGGCGCGAACACAACGAGGCAAGCCGCGGCAGGACGCGAGCAGGGGGCGGGGGGAGGCGAGAGGTGATGGGGATTGGGGACCCTGGCCACCCTCGAAGCAATTTCTGCTCCGCTGCAGCCTGATCCCAACGGAGCCAGAATTAGTGCCCCCGCCCCACCTCTTCCCCACCCTTGGCCTTGTCCGTGCTGAGGGGATGGATGGAGGTGTGACCCCGGGAGGTACAAGGATGTGGGATTAAGCTCCAAGCCTCTGGGGGGGGGGGGGGGGGGGGGGGG